ATCAGTATTGAAAGTATTGTCGAAGGGTTCATTTGCACTTTAATAATTGATGCATTTTGCCGTGAATCTTACGAGGGTTGGACTAAAAGCTTATCGCAAGGCCTGAAAGCGATATAATTTATGCTCTTTCGGGGAGGTGGGCTCAGAGGAATGAGCCAACGCACTATTTTTTTACGAACGGTTTTTTTACGATAACAAACTTTCAAACACTTTTTGATATTGTTGTTGACCGGTTACGTCTCTAAAAAGGGAAAGCCTTCACAAGTGTTGTTATAGTACTATCGAAGAATTATCTGTTCGTGCTCCTGGTAATTCCCATTTATTGCAATCGAATTCGCATTCAGTTCTCAGAGTACAGAGATTGAGATCGCGCGGTTCGGGTCAGCCTCTAATGAAAATCTAGAAAACCCTCAAAATTAAGCACAGGGCATAAAACCCAATAGACTAAAAAGACGTCTTAACTAAGGTTAATAAATATTTCTACATAAAATACGATCAAAAACGAATCCCAATACATTCTCTCTAAAAGTACGTACAGCTCTAGAACAGAGCTTGGGCTGCCGCGCGCGCGGTGATAAAAAGGTGATTGAAGAACTAGCTTCGAAATTCAAAAAAAAAATCGCTTAAATGAAGAATAAATAAAACGTCTTTTTTGGAACAGTGGCGATGACCTATAGTTCTTAGGTCATGAAAACAATATTTTTTACGTTTTAAAACTGAGTAGAGTTTTTTCTGACAGTGAGTAATATTTTAAAGAGCGTTAGAATTGTTTAATATAGAAGACAGAACAACTAGTTTACCTTTTTAACTTTGTATAGTGGATCTAAGTTTCTGTGAGCTGCTTTCAGTACAGTTCCTCTGCTGGCTTGTCTTTCTTTCAGTCACTGCGCCAGCTGATATAGAATAAGTTCAGCCGATCTAGAAAGCTCGACACAAAGATGTTTTATGCCTGGGAGGGGGCCGGCAGTTTTTCAATTAAAACCAAGACATCTCGCCCCCCCCCCCCCCCCCCCCCCCCGGCAGACCGTAAAATCTATAAACTTGACTCCCCCCGTTGCGAAGGTATTTCAAGTGACGTGAGTTATTATTTTCGCAAAAATTTTTTTCTCGCGATCTTGGAAGTTGACTTTTTTCTAAGGGAGAAAAGAAAAGAAAAAAAACTTTGTTTATAACTTATTTTACTTAAGTGTTAATATATATGTGAGGAACCATACCATAATTGGCACATGATACAGTGGGTTCCCTGCCATGGTATGTGTGTGTGTGTGTGTGTGTGTGTGTGTGTGTGTGTGTGTGTGTG